GTATATATATTTTAAATATATATTTTTATTTGTGTATGTATAAATTAAAACAGCCTATAATTGGATGCTTCATTTAAAGCTGCAGAAACCATTTACCTCTGGCTTAAAAAAAAATGCTATGAACCTGAAGTGAAAGAGAATATTTTTCTTTCAGGAAAAAGCTTATTCAAAACTTCCTGACTGAAGAAGGCAGGGAAACTATCTCACATTTAGAAGACTTACCCTTAAAGAGAATCTAGTATTGCATGTGGTTGGAACAAAGTCAGTGAAAGGCAGAGAAAAAACAATGTTCAATGTTTCTCCACAAGCTGCTAGATAAACTGGGAGAGAAGACAAAAAACAAACAAAAAAATCTGTCAAAATTACTCCCTATTTTGCTCTTAGGCAAATTATCAAACATACGGGTAAAAATAATGGAAAGATATTCAAGAACTCATGACATAGGAAATTGCCATTTTAACTACTGTGTATTTAGAGCACATTATACTAAATTATTCTGAAAGTACTTATTCACTACAGCTTGTGCTTTATAGAAAGACACTGTACTTAAAGTTGTTTTTTACTGTCTGCTTGCAATTTCATTGTGCTAATATCTTATTGCTTTATTGCTTCACACACCAGTTTTTGGACAAGAAAACACACACTGAAACTTCCTCAGGCTTCCGAGGAAGTAGCGAGCCTTATTTTTAACCAGAACACAACTTCATGACTTTTGATCCACCATCCTCTTTCTATAATGAAATTGTCATATTCTAGTACAGTGTAGACTACTGAAATACATATAAAACCAAATTGCACATTAAACAAAGTTTTGGCTTTCTGAAGTGTACCTCAACGCTGCTAATTCTAGCATGATTTATGCCCATCAACAGGAACAAAATGGGTGGTTACCACTGACACATTTTTCTAGTAAAAAATCTGTAATTCTTCTACTCTATATATATAGACACACACATTCTATATTTTGCACATATTTTTTGTACTATGCACTCTTCTTCCAAAAAAAAAGTGATCTCACCATTTTCTTGTTGTTTGGTGGAACAGTCAATCCAGTTGTGTTGATTTGCTGCCCAAATCATTTCAAATTGATGAAACATGACTTTGAAGTTCCACATATAAGGAACAAATGAAAAAATATCGGGTGCGCTATCACTAGACCAATCTTGGATCAAATCTACACAAATCCACATAAAATAATAAAAGACAAGTTAGTAACAATCAAGTGAAAGATCTCTTAAGTTTTTGGCTTTTCTTAAATTGTTAATCTTAACCATTTGGTCCTTTACAGAAAAAGGAAAATGAGAACAATACACAGTATCCATTTCTCAGGCAGACATTCCACAAATACTTGCTGTGAATCCATCTCCCATTTCTCACCTGCTTTTTAAGTTGGAAAGCACAGGTTTAATTAAGTTTTCTAGTTTAGTTTTGTTCAGTAGCAAAGTTGCACATTGACCTAAAAGCACTGGACTACCAACTGCTTTCCTCTGATTTTCCACTCCGACACTCTGAATGTGTACATCAGTAATATTTTCTAATGCAGCAAAACTGCGTCATTGTAGAAGTTCATGTTTGCGCTGAATAGATCAGTAGATTAAGCTGCGTACTGCAGCACTGTACAGTTAATGGCTCCGGCCTCACCAGGAGGATAACTTTATTAGCATGGCACTATGCCTGCACTAATTAATCCTTCCTCCCAGCAGGTCTAATTAGCCCAGGCAGTGCCACATTGATGGGGCTATATTCTTCCCATTACTGCAGCTAGAACGCTCAGCAACAGTTTGGTGATGCTGTATCACATTGTACTGTCTTGTGTGCATGTATTCTTCCTTACAGCCAGAATCCTAAGGAGCAAATTACTTTCATCATCTGTCAGCCACAGGGACACAACCTAAAGCCTAAGTAGTTGAAAATCTGTCAGCCAAAGAGAGAGGTATCAGATAAATCAACTTTCTAGGTGACCAATATTAAACAAATCTAGGTCTGATCGATCTTAAATTTCAGATGAATTTATTTTTAACTACAGATCAAATTTAGTTTACATGTTAGAAAATTAAATTATTTGGTATGTCTGCTCACATACAAGAATATCATGTACACTTACAGGCATCAAAAAGCATCAGAAACTTTGTCCTCAGAAACAAGTGGTAGTCCTAAATATGTTAAATAAGAGTACCTGACCTTGTAAACCTTTGCAAAAGTTTAAAAGAAATTGTAAAGAAAGAACATTTAATTTGATATGTAGCTTATTTAGTAAAGTGGTTACCTGTAAAGAAGTTTTTCTGAGCAAAGATAAAATGATAGGTTGCTTTATAAACCTCAAGTTCGCATTGCCATGTCTGTGGCATATTCCATATCCGGGGATAGCTGGCATTGATGTGAAACTGTGAACAAGATATTAAAGCATCAGAATTACTTGAAAAGATGACAGTGCTTGACCCTGTAGCTCAGCAGTTTTCACATATGTACTCTGCTGAATAATTAAAACTGTTGTCCTGCTGGGATGAACAGAAGGCCTCTCCAGTTCCTTAATAATTTAATATCTCTTTCTGTGTTTGAAGGTCAAGTATTAGTGCATTCATTTATTTGGAAAGGTATACTTACAAACTTCTGATGTATCTGTTGTAGTAGATGTAACAAGCAATTTATAAACCAAAGTTTTCATTAAAAGCATCACTTTTCACAATACACTAAGGATAAAATCCCTTAGCCTACAATATTTTTCCACCATAAGAGGCTCAAATTTAGACATTGGGAACATCACTCTAATAAGGTCATTTAAAAACTAGTGAGAAAGGTAGTCTCCAGAATCACAGCACTGCAGAAATGAAGTACTAGGCAAGCAAAAGAATAATGCATTATTCTGTCTCAAGTAGTTTCAACACTGTGAAGTACTTTTATGTACTTATGCACAAACATTCTGTAGCACAGCTAGCAAGTGTAATCATTTATTAAGGTAAAGTCTATATGAACACATGGCCCCAAACAAGACAGGATCTGTAAGTGATACTCCAATTCCTCCACTGCTTTCAATATGCATATAACTTGGTATATAAAATATCTAATTCACAAAGTTACACATGTGCACAGTTATGTGCGTATATGTAGGTTCCTTACATATTAAGGTCTTCCAAAATAGATTCAAAAGGCATATTTCTGTATTGTTTAATAACCTAAAGAACTGCTCCACAGAAAAATAAATATGTTCTTTATTAAAAATCCTCTAGAGACTGAAGCTTTGTGCTTATTAATGCAAACTTACAGCTAGCATTTCAGCTTCTAAGAGAGTCCGATACTGCATACTGCTGGTGGCATCAACATGTAGAAGCTGCCCTTTAATTGTAGGTGAATAGCCTAGCAGATAAAAGATATAAAACATAATCATTCAGACATAAATGCTACACAAATATTTAGATAATTTTCACCAGTGATTTCAGCATTCTACTAACAATCAAGAAATATCATGTCAGAAATTAGTACTATAATAATTCTGTCCTCTACTATTTGTCAATTAAGAGCTTAACACGTTCTGCCTTCATGTAGGAGGGATGACAACAGTTTTCCTGCTGGGTTTGGAAATACTCAGGTTCTGGAGATCTGGGTTTAAGTTGCAGAATAAGACTCAAATATGCCAGGAAGAATCAAGAGAACAAACAATTTAGCAAAGGGCTTCAAACAAGATGAGTAAATGCAAGAAACATACCTATAACTTTACATTTATCTCTACCTTGGATTTTGGGGTTTGTTTTGTTTAAACAAACTACTATTAAATTTGTTTTCCTAACTCATTTCTCACCACTACTACACTAATCCTACTGAAGATGTTTTCCTGCTTTGAGTTGACAATGTATCTGTAATCTGCTTCAATACACACACAGATAAATGATACATTGTGCAGCAGCTAAGGAATTTGTGTTTCCTAACCCAAACAAAACATGGAGGTAACTTAACTATTTAAATATGTACATGCTTTAATATCTTGCAATGAAATGTATGAGGAAATACTTTTTGTTCCTTTACATATGAATATACACCTCAATCACAAAGGCAAAACACTACAAGATATTCACACACATAGGAATTAAGATAACTGTTCAGGAAAAACATTAAGAAAACAAATTAAGCTTAGCCTAAACTCACCATTTTCACCTACTGTCATGGGAATATTTATTTCCAAATATGATCCTGCACCAACATTTACATGTACAGCATTAGTTTCCTGTATTGCAAGAAAGGAGAAAAAGTCCAAACGTTATTTCTAGGCTTGTTGCATCAACCAGTGTACTTTGTGTCTCTGGCTATCATTATCCACACCTGGATTAAGGCACCGGATGACTTAAGTCTTTCTTGCCTTCAGAAAAATTACTAATGAAACATCTATGTGTAATGATATCAAATAACACCATATGCAGGCTTAACACGATGTCTCAAGTCCATTAATAGAAACAGCATAAGATATTCTGATCCAAGGCCTAAGAGGGCAGATGAATATATATTTCTAACACTACGCTTTCTAACCCTTTCAGTCACAAAAAAAGAAAAAAACGGGTGTACAAGGCAGTCACACTATATCCCCTTTATAAAAGTATCAATAGGTGAAAGAAAAATCCCTACACATATGTATCTTTTGTTCTCCCACTGTCATCTCTCCGGTAATATCAGATATTCATCCAATATCAGAAGAAGTTATCTTTTCATCATGGTGAGCTTCATCATAATGGAAGATTGCACAGGAAATGTTCAGATCATGAAACCCCAAGACTGTAGGAGCTGGCATGGCCTAAGATGGAGCTTTAAGGCTTAAAAGGAACTTAAAATAAGCCAACAAATATTAATGCCTCTCAGTCAATATTACTTTTTGAAGAGGTTGCCCATAATTATGGAAGACTAAACCAAAAATCTAGCTTTTAAAACCATAGCTCTATAATAAACACCTGAGACAAGTAAAATATGCATAACCAAAAAGCACAGTGTAATCACAGTAAATCAGTTATTTTCTAGGTAAGTTTTCATTATTTACCCTATTTTTGGTAAAAAGCAAATCAATGGTGGCATCTGCAATAATATTCATCCGCAGTTCAAAAGCAAGGATCTGTCTTGGTTTCCCCGGCTGAGCAATTTCTGAGACTTTCATAACTTGGTAGTCTGGTGGAAAGAAAAACTTCCACAAGCAATCCCTAGTTGGGGGGGGAAGAGGAAAAAAAAAAAAAAAGAGTTTTTTATTCACTGAAGAAATATATATACATTTATAAATATTTACGCATTTATTTGGTTCACTTAGTTATTTTCCAATGAGCTAAGTCTTTAGCCAACCACTGAATGTGATAAGAAAGAACATTTTCTTGAAGTCTTCATCGTGGGACTCTCGTCATATCTAATGACTACTCTTTGATCTGCCATCCTCATACCCCTAAAAGACAGTTAATCATAATAGTTTCACAAGAGAACTAATGGAGGTCAATAGAAGTATCAATCTGTAATTAACAGGGGGAAAAGAAGGAAAGCACTCATTATGTCACTTTTACTTAATAGTCCTTTACTCTCTAAACAATCCTATTGTCTCCATGAGAGATACTCATGCACAAAACATCGAGGGCTAAGTAAAGAATAGTAGTAGAGCTCTGGCCTCACGTTTGGTCACTAAAATAGCTAGATAATAGATACTTTGGAGACTGCATGAAGCGGTTGATTCTCCTGAGGGATAAATTATCCCACCTCCATTATTTTCATAGCCAGATTCGTACTTCCGTAAAATTTTCTCATCAATATGCAGTGTTTTCTTATCCATGAGCTAAGAGGAGCTTGACAAGCCTAAAGGTAACCAATAAAAAGGTTAAACCCTTAGGTATGTAATGCTTGATAAATAGTAGAACTACTTTGTTTACAAAAATTAGGAACATAATTTATTAATTTAACAACAAAAATTCACTGAGTGATCCTAACTTTGGAAGGCCAACAAGATAAACGACAGTGAATTCATTAATACTAATACCATTGCGGCAGGACTCTGGTTTAAACTGCCTAGTCTACCCCATACAAATTAGCAGTCTGAGCAATCACACAGTGGAAACTTTAGAATGTTTTCTCAATAATAATAGATATTAAAGATTAGAGCTGAAGATGTAAACCATGATAATACCTCTGCCTATCAGCCCAAGGTCCATAGTTGAAGTCTGTTCCTTTTCCACAAACAATGTCCAAACCCCAACATGGTGGCAGATCCTGTAATTTGCTGTCTTCGTTGTTTGCTTCTCCGTCATTACTTTCCTCCGTCTCCTCTGGTACAAGACCTGTATTACATAATATAATAAACAGATTATTAAAGGAAGCTGCTTCAAATTAGCATGAAAAATGTTTGCTAAGCACAAGACAATTAAAGCATCCTGATGTCAGTTTTATTTGAGACCACTACAGTACAAAAATATCAAGACACAATTCAATGCAGACTCCCAGGGGAAGGGCAAGAATATGACCAAAAATCCTCGGGATTTTCTGAAGCACTGCTCACTGATGTCACTGAAATGCTGACATACACAGCATTTTTAGCTCTTAAGTGTGCTTTTTACCAATACAGGCTTTCATACATCCACATTCAGTTCCGAATCCTACTTGCAAACCAAGTTTTGAAACAAATAAGATTAAATCACTTTTACAGACCACACAAGCAAATAAAAAGTAAGACTTACTATTGTAGACCCAGAGATGCTAGTAAAAATTCAAGCAGTCATTCAGCAATGATCCAAAATTGCCACCTATTCTACACCAGTATACATCATTATTCAACATGTTACCTTTGTTCAAGATTCAGGCAATACTTTAAGTGGAGTCAGAGCAAAAGCTTTTGCAAACCAAAAACACTTCAACAAAATAAAGTGGTAATATAATGCACTGGATTTAAAATGAAAAAGACAGACACGGCAAAAATGAGAAATGGATGCATCACATAAACTTCCCAAAAACCCCAGTAGGCATTGACTATAAATTGTCCCCACTCCTGAAGTGCTTTTGGAAACCCACATTATTTAATTTTACAGCTTAAAACATAACTTCAAGAATAAGTATCAAGATTAATTGCTTCCACGTTGCCTATAGACTTGTGGAAGGCACTGCCGTCCGAGTATTTATTTCTATACAAAACTACTCACTGATAAAAACGTTAGTTCTACATACACAGTTATTTCGTCTATGGAATTCTCCAGGCCTTTTACATGAAATGGTCTAGAAGCTGACAACACCCATTAAAAAAAAAACCACAGCTCAAAATTTCACTCCTTTATAAACATGAAACACACGAACTCTCTCCCATTTGTTTCAGTGTAAATTTTTTTTCATTTACAGAAAAAAATACCTTATGAACTTATAAGTGTTCATAAGTAGGCTTATGAACACTTTTCTTGGCTCTAAAACATTACAATAACTCTTTCAGCATAAAAAAAAAAGAAATTGTCTAGCAAGTCCAGACAAATAAAGAAATAGCCTTCAAATCCCTTAAAATTTTATCTTTGTATTTAACAGAAGGTACCTGGTTCATCCATATAGTAATAGATGTCAACATCATTGGACTGCATTACAACAAAACCTTCACCCATCAGCCTCGGTGGCCTGTAATGGAAAAGAGTGCAAAGATAAAGATTAAAAAGCAATGCACTGTGATTAATCTTTATGAATTCAAGTAATTTTTAATGCAACATATTAAGCATAATGGAAGGGATTACATAGGTCAGGCTCACTTGTAGCTTATAAGTAGTACATATTTAACCACAGAATCATCAATAAAACTGCTATCTGAATCAAGCAAGCCAATGGTGCAGATACAGTATATGTGGTACCTGTCCAGGAAGATTTTTTGATTAAGACTCAAGCTTGATGTGATCCCAAGACACCAGCTCCATGTGTCTACACTGGTCTTGCCAGCAGCCTTGCTGACTGTAGCCACAGACTAAAGGAGCTTCTGAAAACAAACACTGCAAATATTCAAGTCTGTCTGGTCTCAGGTCTCCTATCAGAAAGGCAACTATCATATTCTAGGCTATGTCTACCCTAATTTGCAAAAAAATACTTGATCATTACGTTGTTGCTGTTATTATTATTATTACTACAGAGTAACTTAATTTAGTTAACTCAGTCATGAAGATGCCAGGTTCCTCTCCACAAAGACATTTCTCAGGTATTATAAACCACTATCAAAAGTTTTACTTTCAATGTTTCTTTCCATCAAGAGTTCCTTTCTCCTTGTCCTATATTGTTCCTTCAGCTGCTAATTGTTTTCTTACTGAAATAGCACTCTAAACCAAAGGGACAAGACATCTTCAGTAATTAGAACATTAGTTTATGAAAAAAAAAAAAAAGAGGCTGTTCTTCCTTAATAACATTTCCCTCAATATAAAAGGATCTAAGTCATAAAACTAATACACAAAACACTTCTCCTAACACTATTATATTGGTATATTACAATCCCTTTCTTACAATGTTACCATGTTAATTTACATAATATTACATTATATAGTAGTAATAATATTATCATGTGAAAATTCTATTTTTACTGCAGAAGACGGGTTTGCCGCTTTTCAGTCACTTTTATAAATTGTCCCCTTTTAACAAAAAAAGAAAATTCCAATGACAGAAATACATGATTTAAAAGCGAGACTTGTCAGAAGTACATTGCCCATTTTACCACAGCTCAAACGCAGGGAAGCTTAGAAAACATGGAAAACAGCAGATGCAGGTCCTATGTACTGCCAGAAGTTCTTCAAAAGCAACAGAACAGGAAGAAATCAATTTTACTTGGAGAGTAACAACAGCAGTGAAAGATGAAGTACTTTCTATTCACTCCCAATTTTCCAATTATTTCTTTTTCCTGTCAAAACCAGAATTGGCCTCCCCAATGAGATGCAAATAGAGCAAGATGTGAAAAAAAAAATTGTTTAGTGGTTCAGGAATAGAAGCAGGAAGGGAAGCATTTAGAGATATATAAATACTAGTTCACGGGAAGAGCTCAGTTTATTCTGCCCACACTCCTCAGCAGGCACACACAGGTCAGCAAGACTGGAAAGCGCACTGAGGCGCAGCAGTGTGAGCGAGTTCCGTCAGCCTCTCGAGCTAAGCGTACCACCAACGGGGGCTCCAAGGAAGCCACTCTGCTTTGTAAAGCAAGAGAGGGGAAGCTCATATAACATAACCACCTGCAAAACTGAGGAGCCTGACAGTAACTTCTACATCCAACACAATCATTTGCCATTGTCCGACTACAGCCTCAGCGGGACTCATTGTCAGGCAAAGGCTACATCTCATTTCAGCAGCTCAGCATTTCACCATGAGGTCAGCCAGCCACAGCACAAGGTGGCCCGGCTACGATGGAAAACTGTACTCACTTCCTGCTGCTCGGTCTAGTATGTGTTTTTTTCCATGAAATCCAAAATACTATAGACCTTTCACATGAAGTGCATTCCCCTCCCTGGCAGCATAGAGTGCATATATCTCGAAACACTATATACACATTTATCTAAGCCTATACAATCACATTAGAGAAACTACATTGCAATAATGTTTATTAAAACAGTAAAGTATGAATGCATAGGCCGGATTTAACAATTGTTTACTTCTGTGTTTACCTATAGTGACTTAGAATAATTTTGTTTTAATCTAAAACACTATCTTAAATAGAATTACAAAAAGGTTTTGAGCTAAGCTTTCTTCAAGATGGACAATTTGATTTCACTCCACAGCCTAACAGCAACTGTCATTTAGCTACAGGAAGGAGAGAAATATCTACAGGCAAGCTTTAGGAGCTGACAGAATCCTCCTGTCAAACACCCACTACCGTGTGTCATCCTTGTCGCGTTTGCCATACGCCACTTTCTGGAGGAAAGCTATGAGGTCTTAGAATAAATGGAAGGGGATGAGGAGTAAAACAAACAACAACAAACCCAAAACCACTTTCATTCTGCTGACTTAGTCATTGATCTCCAATCTTGTTCTGTTTTGATCTGCTTTTCCTAGCACAATCATTTTTTTCCTTGGATTTTGGAGGATTTATTTGCAAGAAGTGATGGAGGCATCTGTTTGTAATATAGTATGACAGTTTTCAAGGTGGGTTTTTTGATGTTTGTATTGATTAGTCAGTCTGTTAAAATTTCATCATGTTACTTAGCTAGTTTTTATATGTGCATTGCCTGCAGGAGTTTCTGAAAGTTAAGACACTCGGCTTAATCTTTAAGCCAAAGAAGCAGAAGGCGGCAGGCTCTATAGATTCAAACATTCCCAGTTTCCAGTGAACTGCGTCATTTGTTGAATCTACCCAGTAAATTAGGGCATATGGTTTCTGCACACATGCCATCCTTCAGCCATCAAGGGCTGTAGGGATGGTAACAGCATAAAAAGAAAATACTTAGCGGAAGCAGGAGAAAAAGCTAATAGTTTGAGTATCTTAATCCTATTGTGTTTCAATCTTGTTTGTTTTCAATATTAATTGGAGAAATTTCCTTTGTCATCATGTTGGAAGAGTAAGATTCTGTACACATCCACAGAATGCTATTTGAAAACATATAAAGGCATATTATAGACAGCAGTATTTTGCTGATACAAAGCCAATTAAGGTACAGTTTATTTCCAAACATCATAATTCAGTCATTGCTTAGGAGGTATAAAATAGGTATAATCATTTTACATAAACTCATACATCTAATTGTCCAAGGATAGTATACATAATTTATTTTTTGTCGAGTAAATAATGCCTGTGAAAGACTTCGAAATTTAGCAGTTTTGTCCAAATCATCTGTTGAATTTATAATACTGTAAGCATTAAATAACGCAGAAAATTCTGGCTCTGATGTTCACACCAAATCAATCAAGAATGTTAATACAGTATGCACATAAATGTCTTGCTGGTTAAAGTGTAATAAAACAAGAATCCTAGTGTCAGATCATTTTATGCAAGCACCCTTTCTTTTGACTCATTACTATACAATTTGTTAACGCTGCATAACCCCACTTATGCGGAATATGCAGAGGTAAATGCATCAACAATCTGCCTTCAAAGATAACATGATATCTGCTACTGCAAGTATTGCACAGCTTTCTCCCATTTTTAAAAAATATTTTCCACACCATATGCAAATCAGGTCTACAGAAGTCAACACCTTAAACCTTGCATCTATCCCAGAAATTCAGTGCTGTCAAAGCCTGCATACAGCTATAGTACCTGAGTGAAGGAAAATAAAAGTTGAATGCAGGATATTAATCATAGAGCAGAACACACACACAAAAAAAATCTACAATGAGATAGAGAATCAGTACTTTTCTCCATAAATAAAATAGTTTCAAAGATCTAACATTTAAAACCTTCAGAGTGGTAAAACTGCCAACTGTCTAAACAAACAAACAAAAATAAAGTCACAGAAACACAACCAATATTTTATTTGTTTTCTTAAAATAAAGAATAAAATAATAAGGAAACAAAACCCCCAAAACTTACTCATCATTTTGAAGACCAACATATCTTGGACTTGGAACCAGCATGACTCTAACATTTTCCAATTTTCCTTTCACGATGTGCATAAACTGATCAAGGTGGCTCGAAGGTGGTTTTGTGGTATACGTCAAAAAAGCATCATCAAAGTTAATACAAAGTGTTTGTGGCTGATAATGATTCCCAAATGCCAAGCGACCCTAAATCAAAGAGAAAACCCAATTACCCATTATGCATTGCTCTTTTATATACATATGTATATACTAAGCTATAATAATGCAGTTTAACCAGCCATATGCAAATGGCTGGTTTATGGACAAAAATCTTGGCCATAATCTGTGCATGTGTAAAAATACTACCCTGTACATTAAACTCTCGATATTCTACCTCCTATCATCTCAATAACAGTTTTCCTGTTTTTTCTGGGACGAAAAATCAAATTTTAAGGAATGTTTCAAAATATCCCTATTAAAAGATGCAGGGAAGAAAAGAAAAATGAAGGGAAAAAACCCAAACATCTCCCCAGAATCCAACACACCACACATTGTACCACACTCATTACCTAGCTTAATTACTTGGTGATATTCCCGAAATTATTAAAAGTCTCAGAGACAAGTATTTCCCAAAACAGAGAACATAACTACGTTTCCATCAGCACCAGCAGGATTTGGGACTGCATCAAGGGAGCACTGGTGGTGTAATTTTAAAACTTTTTTGAAGCATGAAGGAGAACAAAAACTCAAAAAGAATGTATAAGAAAAATGAACAGCAAGCCTGATTTTAAGGATATACTGCTAAATATTTTCATTATCAGGGTCTCACTTACCGTGCTCACGTTGACTTTAATGACTGGAATAAGTGATCTCCACGAAGAAGAAGGATCTTGAGACTCTGTTTTTACTTTAACACTATAGGGGAAAAAAAAAAAAAGGGCTTATTATTTTGTCTTTTCTGCAGAATAACTAACCAACCTTTCTTCTAGGGGTCTTCAGTGCACAGGTCTCAGGGTACACTCCTTCCCCCAGGAGCGTCTCCTGTAAGGGACCTGCTAGCAGACTACTGCAGCCTCCTCCAGAGCCTGGAAGAACAGCAGGAAGAACACGCAGCTACGCCTTGGGTGCTGGTATACTGAGTTGACACAAGTAGAAAACAAGTGTGCGATGTTTAACACAGGGCAATAGTTAAAGAAATCTTCCTCAAAGGAACTTGGTCTGTTCTAAATATTCCTAAAACAATCCTTTTAGGTTTTTGGCATGGGATTTTTCACTTACCAGTAGCAGAAGTCCTTCCTGCACCTGTCAATAAGGGCATAAGATGAAAACATGAAGAGGTTGGCTCAGATGGCCAGCCTTTACCCAAACTTAGGACTGCCACAGCACCCTGAAGCTGCCCACTACGTAATATAGTAACATATACTGGCCTAGCCAGCAGCAGTGGAAGGACTCGTCTCATTAGATCTTCCCTGCTCCTGCCAATAAATCAGTCTGCTGTGATTCTGCCCAAAGACAGGCTTCTTATTGAATACCGGACTTCACTACACATAAGCCACGTAGAATTCCTTATAGACCCTCACCGTGTTTTCTGGGGTACCCCAAAAAGAGGAATAAAATAAGAAAAGAAGGTTTGTGTAGCTATGCAAGAGACAACTTGTGAAATCAGCTCGAGTTTAAAGCTCAAGAACCACTAAGTCCTCCCAACACCATACATATCCTCACATTTTGTCTATTCAATGTCTCGAGCAACTATTACTTCTATTGAGTAATACCATTATTATTCTGCAAGCATAATCCTCTTCAACACATGCTCCCTTTCCACAGTGTGCTTCAAATAGATTTTTCAACCTGTCTCTGATCATTAAACAAGGAGTGTTTGGTTGTGTTTTTTAATTATTATGGTAGAAAGTCTGAGGAAAGGAAAAAGATTTAGATTGTCAGGCTTGTCAGTGCAATTTCTCTCTCAGCTGTGCTTCAACCATTTGGCCTCCAGAGCATATGTTAACAAAACATTACCCAATTAGTTCAGCACTTTGCAGAACAAAGCATCAACAAAATAGCAAAATGAATAATAATTTACCTTTCAAGATTTGTATGTGTTCTCTGTCTCCCATTTACTTGTGCTTTTTCATCATCTTTCTTTGCTGGAATGATTGTGGGATCCAAGCCAAATAGTTCTTGAAGTTGTCCATAAAGCTCAGAACGGTTGTACACATGAAATTCAAAGTCATTCACCATAATATATAGTCGTGTTTCTGCCTTTGGATCTAAACAAACAGTAGGAAAAGAGTTTCTAGTTCTATTCCAACATTCCCTTGCAATATTTACAGTTTTTCAAATACGCATATTTTGCAAAAAACAATCTACATGGTAGTGAACAGCTGCTGAAGTACACATTAAAAAGCAATAAAAAACCTCAACAAAATAATTACACCATTCCAAGCAAAACAGTAAAACTGATTTTGCGAATAAGACAGTTGCATAAAAAATATAAAACCTGAAAGGCATTTTACCCTTAGGTCACAATCCAAAAATAAATCCAGGCAGGAGCTGTACAAAATGGTAAATGAGGTTTATTCAGTCTCATATATGAAAACGAACAAACAAAAATCCCTCTTGATACACAGCACAGAAGCCTCGGCATCAACTTCTGCTTTTTAGCACAGATGTCAGTACTTAAGATCAATTCAATCTCAAAAACTGAATGGTTTTCTAGCCAAGCTCTGTGGTACAGCAAGCCTTAACTGGGAAAAAGTGTTCTCTTACAGAGAAATAGAAAACGTCAATATGCAGAACTAACAAGTAGTATACTCATTTTGCACAATCAGTCAATGTTTTCATAAATTTGAAATTTTAACTGTAACATCAGCTTAACTCACTGATACTTAAAAACTAGTTTAACATCTGCTGATAGCACACATAGCTGTTTGTGACATACTTTGAGATACTTTTGCCTTCGATAGCATGACCTAATTATGTAGTTAATGTGAGGAATAAGCTCGCACAATTTCCTCCTAATTATCCAGTTGAAAGATCGCCCGTTACACATTCACTCAAGGGACTTGAGCTGCTCTAAAACCTGATCTGGTCTTTCTAAGTCAAACAGACTTTAGGAAGCTGAATTATCAACAGTTATTACAGCAGTCCCCAACCTCTAACTCAGGGGGTACAAACCGAAGGCAACATTTCCCACAGACACTAGAAATTACGAAGTCAGAGCGTACACTGTTGCTGTGGTGGTCAGTGTCAAGAGAAGAAACGCAGCTGCCCAAGAGCCAAAGTTTAGAGACACCTGCTTTATTAAATTCACTCTTTGCAAACAAACTCATCTGTCCCCTGATGTTATGCATCTATACACTCTGTCCCAAACACAGCAATGCACCTTTTACCCCTCACGCCTAAATTACCAGATATTTCTATATCATTTTTGAGATATATATATGTATATATATATAAAGTGTAATAAGTCTCCAGAAAGAACTGACATCACACTTTTCTTGAACAGGAGACAGAGAAAAAAGTTAATGAGCCAGTTTCAGTTCCTTCCTGTTTTCATAAAAACACTATCAAATCTGTTTGTTGGTAATATTAATTTGCATCAGTACGATATAGGCAAAGGATGACGTGGACAAAGACTGGAATACACAATTGTTCACTTGGGAGATCTCAGCATCATCAAGAACTCAAATAAATGTAATTTTTCAATTCCTGGAGGCAAGCATTAGACCTCAGTAACTAAATGAAATCATATCTAGTAATTCATTTCTTTAAATGGGATTTAAAAGGACAACTATCTCTTTTTTCCTAATAACAAAAATAAGATTTGACCTCCACACATCAATTTGGTTGCCTAAGACACTTTTGGAAAAGAAAAAAAAAGCAAGGAAAAAAGAGACAAGCACATCTGAATGTCATATAGTTAAATGATTCAAAGCAGCATATAGGTAGATCATGTAAAACTACCTACCACATTGATAGCAAAATACTGAAGTTTTACCAACATTTGTTGGAATCAAGGTGACTAATGTAGCCAAGGTTTTGACATTAGTCTCCTACAGAGTTTAATCAAGATGTACTATTTATTCATTATTTATTCAAATGTTTGTATCACACCTACCCAAACAATTGAACATAAATACACCCACTACATAAAACTTAATGGGAACATAAAACAAGCCACTCCCAACAATAAAAAGTAGAGGAATGGTTCTCAAAACAGTATTCCCCCTTCAAAAAGTACCTCACAAACTACACCACATGGGTTTACAATATGAAAATTGATAAGCTGCTGTGGCACCTAAGCCAAGACATCTGGGTGTGCCCTATTCACAACACAATCCTCCAACTTTTGCTTCTAAAGCACTTTCATTCCTCAAGTATGTACAAAACCTACTCTGAAGTCCCAGTCTGATTTAACTTAACACTCAAGGAGGAAAACAACCCACATACTTGACTTTCTGTGAAGTTCTTTCAACATTGGTATGACATGCCTAGTACAAACATAGTGCTGTGAAGAAAAGCAGATTGCACTTGCTAGGTCAAACAGAGGAACTTTTAAAAAAACAAAGCAGAAAATGCAACTTCATTACAAGTTATCAATAATCATTATCCAAACTCTTTGTAGCTCAAATCCTCTCTTATGCAAGGAACTGTGATTAAGTCTTTATGAGAAGCATCCTTAAATTACAGTGCAACCTAAGTCTTACAGCAACATTTAGTTTAGATTCCAGAGGGCAAGTACACAATGCATGAATTTTGATAGGTTAGTTTTCATCTTCTCAGAACAGTGGTAACAAAATAATTCTCTTTGCTTTAAAACAAACGTGAAAAAAAAACAGAATGCAAAGCATTTTCATCTTTCCTTTTCCTGATACAAAGGTTTAATAGTCATGCTTCCCTGCATCCATTACTGTAATCTACCCTGTGATCATAAACACATATTGACTACCAGAAGTTCAATAGGAAGAGCATACCATAAAGCATTTTGCAAAGCACATACACCAGAGCACAGGAAACTGTTCTGAGTTTGGCCGCCTCTTCCTAATAACCTTCACTCTTCTCTGACCAATCTCAGATCATGTTCCTCGCTCAGTTTTTCTTTCTTTGTGTATTCTCATAAGACTTTGTGTATTCTCTTAAGACTGACTTGCAAAGTCAGTGGATCTTAGCGGGTCAGCAGCAACCAGCAGGCACTGCCACATTCTTCAGCTCATCAGGAAGAAGGCTGAGAAGCCATGTGATTAGAAAGCAGTTAGCAGGGAAAAACATTCCCAATAACACATGAACATATTCCACGGGCATGTGGAACAATACTGGATTTTTCTTACCAACAGGAGTAACAACCTGCAAGCTGAAGTTATATTTTCCTAGGAAAACAAGTAATTATTTAAGAGAGTATTTTATTCACGTTACTTTGTTGTCAGACCTATACTCCTCTGACCTCCTTGATTACTTGGATTATTTGTCCACTAACTATGCAGTCTTAAATGCCAGCAGAAAAGGTTAAAGCCTTGCAATACTGCCAAGCAAAAATACCACCATAAAAGACAGAGACAACTGTCTTTATTACATTAAATTCATTTTTTTCATTCTATGAGCCACTAGAGAAATATGGTTTAACTATCAGATAAAGACAATTCTATGAAAACCTGCTGGACAATAACCTGTGGTTGGAAAAATCTAATTAACTATAAGACTGGGTTTCACTCTTTGAATTAGTCTTCTTATCATATAAAGAACTTGAATTTTGTCCTATCAGCTCAGAGGCTTAGTAATGCCTCAGTAAAAAGAGGTGAGCAACTCTTCCTAATTCATATTACTAGATTGAACAGTGTCTCCTATTTACCTGCATAATGTGTATGCAGTACTCCTACCGCTGTTGAGTTGGTACTGACAAAGCAACAGCTGTACAAGCTTGCTGACAAGTCTAAGAGGCTTCACACCATCAGAGGCCACTTTGAAAGGGGAGATGGGAAAACAAAGCCCTCCAAAGCTCGATGACCCTCTCAATTAGTGCCCTCCTCAACTGCAGACAGTTGCCATTTCTGGACCCCCTTGAAATAGTAATGGAGCTGTGATGCTTCAGAAGTTGAGAGAGGCAGGACCTGAGACTCATTCAACCAGATTCTAATCCTATAAATGACTAAGCACACATCACAAGGCTACTTATGTTTTCTCAGTGTTTTCTGCAGATACAATTAATCTCGTGCATCAAGTGTTAATTGTCCTCCTTCAGCCACAGAGAAAGAAGAAAAATAAATTAATTTTTGACACTTCCCACTTCTATGACCACAGATGTTATCAAGACACAGGGTTGTCAAATACTAAAGAACATTCCCTACTGTAACACTTTTGCTAAAATACTGACAGCACAACACTAAAACTTGAAAACTAAAATCACTTCCAGAACATAAGTCTCTATTTATCATAGTTATAAACTTCAATACAGGGTCAGTTATGCTTAGACTACAGATAATGAAGGCTACTACTAAGGTTCATGGTTTGTCTTAAGAAGGGTTCAATTCTGCATTTATTTCTTTGTATTGTTCTAGTCTACTAACACAGATCAACCAGGTAAAAGAACCCATACCTTCTGATGATTCAATGTACTTCAGGCACATATTAACAAATCAATTACACACATCCAAATGTGCAAAGGAAGCATTTTTCTGTAGGCTATCTGTATACTTAATTTAAACTTTGAAACCCTTTTGGGAAACCTACCATGCTGTTTCTGCTTAGGGTTGTACATCTTCCACCAGCGAAATATGATAAATCCATCTTGAATTCTAAATCAAATAAGTTAGATAAAACAGAAGTTGAGCGATAATCCCAAATCCTGTGTGCAGTTGCATGACATTTTGCCTTATGCAGGGCTGAGATCTGCAGTTGCAGTAGCGCACAAGCAAAGCACAAAACATTTCAGCATAAAGCATACAGTATAATATTACACACTTACTGCATTAGCTGAAACTTGTATAAAATCCCATATCCACTGCCTACTCAGAGCTTTCAAAATTTAACAGTAAGAATCAAAATTACCAACTATTCACTAGCGGTTCATGACACAAATTATTCTCAATTCCAATAAATAAATGCAAATTACTTGGCCAAAACATATCTTCCAGACTTAAGAGCAGGAGCATGAAGGTGTGAAAGACATCAAAGTCTAAAGCATTTTCTTTTTTAACATTTATAAATATATTTATTGGTCAATTGTAAGATGGTATTTTGAGATGTGTTATTTAGACATATACATTTACTGTATTTGAAATTGCTATTTAGAAGAGTGACTCCCTTGGAAATCCGTACCTGATAGACATGTCTTCTGTAATGAAATAGATTTCACGAACCATGACTTTTCCAGACAGCACAGAGAATGAAAAGGAACCTAGTGTGAGAGAAAGTGTTTATCGGACATTAGCCTAAAGTTGTTGATGCTTTATTTTCTGAACAGGAAGAATATAATTAGTATTCAATTATCCAAAATGTGTTTACTGGGTATCTTGAGTTTTCCCTTTGAAAACACACTGACTTTCAGAGGAAAAGGGAAGTCAGAGATTCAAAACATACAAGACAAAAAGTACACAACTCAAAGGTGCTGGATTTGGCACCATCCATGAATACAACCAACCCTGAGACACGCTAGTCACTCAGGAACACTCAGGTGCCTTGCGAAGCATGTGAAAAAGAGTTGAGAAAGCTATTCTGAACACCTGCAAGTATCAAACCATTGTATGCAAGACTGTGATTAGAGAAATAAAGATTCCTGACAACATAATTTTTCAAATGGCTATAAAGTTTTCAGTCCAATTATTATGACAAATTGTGTTTACAGCAGGAAGGATTAATAAGCATGAAAAGACCAGCAGGTAATGCAATAGCCCGTATTTTTCCTAAGGCTTTTCGCCTCACCCACAGAAAGGTAAGTAAACCCTGATTTGTTTTTTTAAAAAAAAATAATCAACATTAATCGATTGAAGTCAAGCTGTAAATCATGGGATTTAATTAATGTTATGTTCTTCTTACTGATTAAGTTTATAAAGAACACCATATATTTGGTAAGCTATATCCAGCTGTCTTTACTTAATAGCAATTTCACAGAGAAATTTTAATAAAAGCCCATAGATCAAGTGTAGCAGCCAATAACTATTTCATCTATATTGCTGTTCAAAAAGTTGGATTTAAAAATGGTTTGGATTACAGTTCTTAAATTCTTGAGGACATAAGCAAATTATTGCAGGGGTCTCTTTGGCAGGTGGGCATGGGTAGGTTGGGGTTTTTTTTAAGTTTTCACTACATTTATGATCAATAGTTGCAGAAATAGTCCAGAACTAAAGTCATTGCCATTCTGGGAAGCAGACAGAGGAAGGCGTGGAAGAATAAATGAAAGAAAATTAAAAGTGCAGTCAGAGTGAGGTTGTGGGATACAGCTCTCTGTGACTCCACATCAGATATTTTTGTAATGTGGGTGAGTGCCCAAGTGATTTGTACTGACCTGTTTTATTAAAAAATGTTTTAAAATATTAAAAAAAAAGTTAATGGATTTCAATGCAAATGTTCTAGGCAGTATAAATTCTACATATCACAGTCCCAGTATGAATTAACATGATCAGTTGTTCTGACAGCTTATTTAGAAAGCAAGGACACTGCCGTAACAGTGAGTTGAGGCTTGAGAGTCCACTGTGCCCCTCTGAGCCCATTCCAGCGGTCACTACCCATGCTACAGATGCCGTATAATCTGCCCCAAAGGTGCAGGAGAGTGGGAAGCTACACCTCTTAACAACAAATCATGAGAAAAATTCAGAAGCGGCTCAGGCAGGTTCCATGGGGGACTGAGGTCAATCTTCTACTTTAATACAAAATAGTGAAAAAGGGGGTATTTTCCTACCTACACCAAGAATCCTCCCCTAAAGCATAATATTGAACTTTTTATCTTCTTAAATTAAACCCATGCTGATCATTTTCACATTACTCTAACAAAGGAACACTTTGATCTTAGAGTTTTTAGCAAATTGAGGTATAATAAAAAGCAGCAGATAAACAGTGGCATTACAGTAATTACTTACCAATATGGATGTAGCCATGTTTATACAATCTGTTAAGAACCAATGTTAAAATGAGTCCAATGTTCCGGGAATTATAGTAAGTTAAGTAGATAATCCATCCACAAGACAATATTGTCGCTGTTGAAAGATTAAAACGAATTAAAATATTTTTTAAGTATGCCAACCTAGATAAAAGCCTTACCTATCAAGACTATAAAGCACAAGAATAATCTTCCTACTCTCCAAAAAATTTTGGAACTGATGGGACATTGTAATGGGTGTTTTCAGAGATGGTGTGAGAAGGGTATAAAGAGATGGGGAGAAAAAAGAAGGCAAAATGGAAAGTTAGGGAAAGCATAGATTCTTCACCACTCTTCCAATCCCCAATCCCAAAAAATCCCCAAACATCCTCCTAAGGACCTGCAAAAGGCAACACACAGTTCATTGCATCCCTTATCATCCAAGAAGTTAAATTTCATAGATCAAGTGATAACATCCATTATCCCACACAGCACCCACCACAACAGAAGTCATACTACATTCCTTCTCCACACCATGAACTGTAATTAAATTTCTAATATTTCAGACCTTAGCACAGGAAGCAACATTATCACATCTGAAACCATTTCTTAAGTTGCTGTATCTTGAAAGAAATGTACCAGTACTCGGGTCAGCAGAAATCTGTCAACAGTTCAAGCATGGAATTTGATAGGGAAGAAAAGGAAATGGCAATCCAGTAAGAAACATGTTTAAAAAAAAAAATAGGTCTGCTAATCCCCAAAGTAATTTTTACTTTAGTTGATTAAGAGCTAGTAACCTATTTCTAACTACAAGGGTTCTCAAAGCTTCCAGAAGGACGAACTTAAAGGAATGGGACTGCCAGGGAATGGGCTAGTTCTAACTCACTTTACTGATAATTACCATACTGTTTCATCTAAAGCAGAGTAGGAAAGAAAGCAATTTTTGTATTTGCGATATCTCTACTCATTATACTAACTGAACTTCTAAAGAAGTTTTTCATTTATGTATACACTTCATACTCAAAAACTCAGATTAATTGTGCCTTTTATGGGAAAGCTGAGGTGCAGAAAGACATACGGGTATGACACCCTCACTCTGCAGAGTTCAGATGATTACTCAAGAAAAAAGCAAAAAAATCCCACAAAAAATTACAAAAACAATCTGTCCTTTTACTGCCCCTTAATTTTTTTTGCAGTGGGATGCTCCACTGCTTTGTAACAATGCCTATGCTTTGTTGAAAGATGAGAAGGCAGAAGAGAAAGACTTGTGTGACTGGAAAATGGATCCTGTATGGCCAAAATTCAAGTAGCTCACACACTCGACAGGTAATTTCCTTGACATGCAAAACAAATCAGATCTGTGTGGGTGATTACACAGGAGCAAGGCAGGGAGGGTTAAAGCTGCACCCAAGGAAAGAAACTGCTCTTTGCATTCAGTGAAGGCACACTCCAAGGACAGCGCTTACCTCCTCTCACTTTCAGATGAGTAAGCTACTCACTGCTGGTCCTCTATCAATGTAGGGAGAAAGGTGGAATGACTCACACTCAAAGGGTCTCATTTCAGTAATAAAACTTAATTTGATATTAAAGTTCAACTAGATACTTAACTTCTAGTTACCTAAAGCCAAGAAGGTACCTTCTTAAGGTAACATATACCGAGAAAAAAATCAGCAAACTAGTGCACTTTCCATGGACTACGGTCCTAATGCATTGCCTTTACCACCAGTCTCATCTCTGTCACAAATTGCAGCCTTTTCTTTTCCCTCACCAAATTTAGTCTCCACTATAAGTGACAGATCCCATAAACTGTGTTCATCTCGTTACTATATTCTTGATTTTTAAAAGCCTCTTCACTGAAACTACATTTTAGAAATTACATTTGGAAAATTTTATCGCATGTGATTTTTAGAAATTATTCTAGAATTGAGCAACAGCTCTTTGAGGAGCATGTTTGTTTCTAGAATTCATCACCTCTTCTACTGGACTCAATAGTTAGCTGTTTCAGGATTCAGGAGAAGGAACCGTCGTCATCTTTTTTTGTTCTCTTATAACAGGATACCATACCTCAGCAGATGAAACCAAAGGAGGAATGGCTGGTTGAAACGGAGTCAGTTAATAAATATTACTTTAATATGTTTCTATCCAAACATCATAACAGGAGGCTACCCAGCTTTTTCTGGTTTTTGTCTAATTGTTTCTAGAATACCGGGTGATTTCTTACAAAGAGATCAGCAGCTCCCCTAAACTGCATAATTGTATATAGGTCATTCTCCCTGTAGAAAAAGAGGATGGACTATATTATTTCTCGAAGTTCTACCCACCCTTCTGTGAAACAGAAATTTGTAAGTTTAATATATTCAAGTAAGTAAGAAAGCTAAGCAAAGCTTTTAGGTTTAAGTTACAGCTGTTACACAAAATTGTTTATATCCTACATACTTTCCAAGTAGAATTACTAATAGTTTGCTCTAAAAATCCAGCACAGAGAGGGAAAACCAGAGAAAGATAATTCTGTAGGTGCAATCTGATACTTCTGTTCTTTGGTGAAAGACCCAAACATCTCTAAGTCTAAAGTCAAAGCTTCTAGAGACAAATTTTTCAGATCTGTTCCACATTTTACCATGAGCAACTATCAGCATGGTGACTTCCCTTACTTTCCTCTTGATTACACTTTGAATTTTATGTTGAGTATGAACATTTCATGCCAACATGTTAGAAGTGAAATAAACAATATTTTGAAGGCACCCTCAGCTAACTTGCCTATGTCATTTTCATTCAGTTTGGGCTACTGAAAAAAATAATTCCAGTACGTCAACAGACAATGTACATGATTTAACTTCCCAGAAGTCAAAAAATAAAGTTATTTTTCCTGTGCTGCCCCTCACACCAGGTTTAAGAATCAAAGCTGAAAAGCAGGTATTATCTACCTTTGGAAAAAGTCTGAATTCATCACACACTTCTACCACTCTCATCTGGACCTGAATACAACTTAATTTTTATTTTGTTCTCCCTGACCCACCAGTTCATACATTCCAAAAATAAAAGTACCTACACACAAATATAAATAGCATTAATGTTAAAAAACCATCATATCTAGATCAGGCACATTTACAAAAATAGCCCATAACCGAGAATGCAATGGCTTATTGTGGCACACAAGTAAGTCTAGAAGATATGTCATTAAACAAAGCAGTTTTATATCACTATTCAATTTACAGCATATTAAATGGCAGATATGTACATATTGGTATAACAGACTTAATGTATCTGCCTGTCATGTGCTACCATGCTAATCCTTTTTTATGGTATTATAATTAATCACCATCTTACTCTGGTGTTAGAAAAAAATTATTTCATGGAGAAAAGGTCTGTGAATTCTTATTTTGTAGAGTAGCAGTTGTAGAGCATCGTCCTTCGCACATTGGACATCTCCCAAGTGTTGTAGCACTTTCTGAAGTAGTAGTTTTTTCTGAATTACTTAAGTAGCATTGCCATATCTCACTAAACAGCTGTATGACAAATAAAAAAAAAATCTATTTCCAATGTTTTGATGTAATTTGGTGAGAAATTTGGTATTGGTATGTCAGCATTTAGAGAAGTATTTAAAAGTACACGCACAAAAAAACCCATTTAACCAAAACAGAATAGATCCACCTTACCTACTAACAGCCAAACAACATTGGAGTCATGTTCTGTTAGGAAATCTTCCAACTGCGTGATACTTGGGACAAAACTATCATTTTTTCTTTGATCCATTGCTAAACTGTTTTTGCACCAGCACCTATAGAACTGAAGGTAAAAAAACAAACAAAAAATGAGTAACAAGCACAGTACAGTTTGGAGAAAACTGAGTACGTACCATGTTAAATAATCTCTAACAGTCTGTTTCACACAACTATGAATTTACTTGTTCTATTCCTTCAATAACATCTTCCTGATTCTCAGCTACCCTTTCTTCTACTCTTGAGCTCCACACATCTTTGCTGAAACAGTTTCCAGGCATGTGCCTTCCTAAAATAGATCAAAAGAATGCCAGGATATGCTCTCAAAATTTAGTACCCTGCCTTATACAGCATATGTAACTGTTGTACCATAGCAGTAGGTCGAAAGGTAACCAAACATACAAGGAAAAATGAGTCTGTATTAAGCCTTCTAACATTCAAAAAGGGAGTATGAGACAATGTAAGACTGAAACCGCTGCCCCTGCAGGAGGAGAGGCTGAAGCAGACACTTTCAGGAGCTATGGAAAATTCCCATAACCTCCTAATCCACTGCATCATATAAAAAGTGACTACATAGTGTTTCTGTTACAGAAAACAGAAGACCAGTCCTTCTGATCTTACACACTTATTCAAACCACCCACAAATCAACTTGCAACTGGGTTATATTAATTAAATGTGATTATCAGGGAGTAGCTCAACTCAGTAACATCTGTAATTACACTGCAGTATTTAACTTGCATTAGTTTCATTTGAAGTCTTCTCCCTTGGACGTTATCTGTCAAGCCTTCTTACAAGAAAATAAGCATTAATTATGCTTTTTTTTTTTTTTTAAACACCTTCCAGCTCCTGTCAGTATTCAACCCTCAGAAAAAAAATGAAGACTTCATAAAGAAAGGAAATAAAGTCTACTCAATGCTCTTCATCAAGAGCTCTAGAACATAAAATTAAGTAACATTGGTAAGACCTTAGTTTTTGAGCAGCATATCATCTTTGGAATAGTCAGTATTTAAAAGTGTTCACAATAAAACTAATAATTGATCCATTTTTTCCTGTAACATCCATAGTATCTCTCACTATTATAACTTGAAAACAAAATGTAGCAGGAGAAGTTGAAAAAAAACCCACAACCCTGCTTTAATGCATTTGTTTCGCCCCTACATTTGGGTAAAGTACCTTGAGCTAAGAGCCTATATTTTAAACTAAAATAGAAGTAGAGTCCCAAGAGTAAGCGCTAACAATCTGGTCACTACTTCTTCTGTAAGAAGGTATAGAACGGGGAGGAAAGAACATGAAAGCAATAAACAGAAACAAAGAGCAACAAAAAAAAAACGACCACCAAAAGACCAGACATGACTTCCGGTAGTGATGATAAAGAAGCTCCTAACATAGCTCCCCTACAAAGTGGAGCGCTTGTTATAGAGGGGACATTACAACGGCAAATTAAATCACATAATGGCATTGTGATTTGCTTTAAGACAATCACGGTACCTTAATAAAAAACCCACATGTCAACTTGTATTATGAAGCAGATGATGCCTCTGCAGGCAGCCTCTAAGAGCCTTTAACCCGTGAGTGACCGGGTAACTGAAGAAACCAAAATCAACACTTTCAGCATAAAGGAAGAACTAACTTGTTTTTTCCCTTTCTAACCAAGGGACAACAGGGTCACTCTTTTGTCATCAAGCCCACCATGGAAGTGCTGTCAGTCAGTGAGGACAGCCTATCACCTTAACAAATACCACCACTGTTTAATCCCTCAAGAAAGCAACCTGTGGCTTCTTCCTAAGAAATTACCACCCAATGTTACGTGATGCTGAGGCAGGACATGAAATATTCTTATGCTCTTAATAGGACTGTGGCAAGACAACTCAGAGACTGCAACTCATGGGATCCTGATAGTTACTTATTTAAATAAAGACCATATTCATAATTTTTTGTTGTCACTATTCATAACCATAAATTGGATATCCTCATAAATTTTATGGAATATGTTTGCTATTCTCATGTAAATAAACACAGGAATGCCCCATCAGTCAATCATGTGTCAACACATCTTTCTGGAGCTCCACAGCTGATCCTTTAACACCCTGCCCCACTGATGGGCACCCTTCACCCTTGATTCAGTCACCTGAGGAAGACTATGATGACAATGAAAGTGTAAGTACCCAGAAACAGGCAGCAGCAACACCTGCACTAGATGTGGGGTCTCAGTACGTGTCTCAGAGGAAGCAGGTGCTTAATCCATTTAGATTACGAAGCAATTCTAGCCAAATGAATTAGTATAATAGAAAGGGGATGCGCACAGAGACTGAAGTAGTACACACTTTATAATGTCCTTGTGCATTTATACGGCACGGAGGATGGAGAGGCAGGATCTGGATCGTGATTGTTAAGAGGAAGAGATGCAGTATTTTCAAGAAAGATATTAGCTACATTCAGTAACCAGCATTTCCTTCTGTTAACAGTCCTGCACCTATCTGCCTTCATCTTCCATGCCCTACATATAGTACCCATACAGTTAAATTGTGCATACCTCTCAGCTGCTTTCACTCATCCACCCTCTGTTACGTTTACTCCTATGGGCAAAATTTGCAATCAAACATTAACTGTTGCACTCCTTCAGGAACACTGACCCATAGGTTGATGAGCCTGTAATTTACATTCATACTGCTACTCTATTCTTCTGAAGTAACAGTATACTTTGCAAATTTTATGAAACAACTCTTGGATGGATAAGATCTAAATCTGTGTGGGAAAACTGACTCTGACCAACCCTGCTAATACAAGAAAGAAAATGCACAAATAGCAAGACAAACCCAGAACTTCATATTTACCTCTCTGCATTTATTTATAGTATTTTCTCAAGGTCTCTACTGTTTTGAGATAATGAGCTCCATTAACATGCCAGAATATAGTCCAAAAACGTAACAAGTGTTTTGGTTTATTTGCCTTCTCCTGCCTTTTTTTTTTTCTTCTCCTTAAGCACATCTTTACTACTCAGTATGTCATTTGGGCCTCTCATTGACCACATACCATGTTATTACATACAAAATGTACTCGCTTTCTCCTGAGAGGAAGCAGGCGAAGAGAAGGATTCTGTGGTAAGAAGTGACAGAATCCCAATACTTTCATTTATCTTCACATCAGTCCTTTAAGGCATGATGTAGTCTTCTTTCCGCAAATGAAGATACCTGAAGCAAGGAAAGATAAAGGCCAAATCCTTTATTTAAGATGCCCAAACTAAAATACTTGGGCCTGCTTTTCAGGTTGTGCATGTTTAGAGGATTTAGTATGTTTAAAGCAGGCAGTGGACTGGCTTGAAGATGCGAGGGTTCAATACTGCCGTACATTTGCTCCTCCTGGTCAGACAGGCTTTCTTTATAGCAGAAACACACACTTAACAGACACTTAAAAAAATTTTTTAACTACTTGTGTCAGGTATTAATCCATTTTTCTCAGTGCTAAGAAGATGCAAGTGATGTTATAATCCTGGAGGGATGCACTTCATTTCCAGTCTGCTTCCAGTATTCCACACTGAATTCAATTTTTACAGCAACTATTCTATCTCTAAAAAGCCAAATACTCAAAAGCAGCTGCTTCAAATCTTTATAAACACATTCCAGTCACATCAAATAGGTAAACTAGTTTTAACCTCAGCCTAACACATTAACGCTTAACACAGAGAACAAAGCTCTGCTTAAACAAAGTCATTAAAAATTTACAGAAAGCACGCATATGTGAAAGAGTTGACAAAAAAAGTCACAACAGAAGCCCAGTCAGCAGGCCCTGGGTCACCAGAATACAGTTGCTGGGCAGAGACGGCTGCAGCCTGGGGAGCAACAACCCACCTGTAAAAGGTCTGTCCTGTACCTATAGCTGAGGATGAAGGCAACAGATATTTTATTCAGTGCCCAAGAGCATTAGGGTAATATGGGTCTTGGGCTGCATAAGAAAAGGAGAAAGACAAAGAAATGTCTGTTTATCACATCCTTTGTAACACACTTTTCCCGGCACACCTTGTAGAAACAGCTGTATAAAACTTGGTATCCAAAGGTGGGGGAAAACTAGCACTTCATGATATTGAGAAGAAACACTTTTATACAGTTAAGAAGCATGTAGAGAAATAATTTGATGCTGCCAATCCCTTATTATTACTAGAATTCATGAGGGGAATAAACCAGGAATTTAAATTTGTCAGACATATTCCTCAGATCTTCACAGAAATCGAGTGCTTACTGAATATACATTAATTGCTGTTATTAGAGGTTAACTACCATTCTGAAGATACTCAGCTCCCAACTTCCACAGCAATTACAAGACAGTGGAATCACAACTACACCCGAAATGACACATTAAACAACAGGAGGTAAATCCCTCTAGTCTAAATAAACGAACCTAGATAACATGTCTGTCCCATCTGTCCCATCTCCAGTAAAGGAGTCATACCCACAGCAGGTCCTTAGAGAAAAGGAAAGAAATGGTATTTTTGCACCCTACCCACTCCACCACTTTCTTTCAAGGGGTCTCCATTAACAGTTGCTATGAAATCAGATCTTTAGATATTTAAATTACATTAGAAAGGAATCTCACAAATGTAAACACGACTCAATTGAATCTTCCTCTGAAGGTATCGTGACATTGTCAGCACCCAGACACGCATTAGGCACATTTCACAAAACAAAAAGCTGCCAACCTTGGCGTCTTTCCCAAAACACTCCAGCTAGTTCCAAAGACTTCAAACCCATCCCGGCACAGCTTAGGAAACTCAGCTATTCTTTAATCAACAAGCAAGGGAAAGCGG